TGTGTGTGGATGTATGGACACTTAGGTTTCATTTACAGGGATGTTCGAGAACTATGGGCACTCAAGTTTCATTTACAGGACTAAGGAAAACACTTGAATGCCAATGTTTGTTGAAATATCACAACATGTCCACGGGTTGTCATTGAATTATTGCGATATGAACAGTTGTTTTCACTTGCCATCATTATGCAAATCACTCGAATGTTGCAAATTTTCGCTAAATCGAAATATGTGCCGTGTGATAACTAATAATTTTGATGCATTCTATACTTCATTTCCGATCCTTTTTTTATTTTTGTATCTGCTTCCTTCGGGGATTTCATAGTGTGGATACGATCAAATGTCGTATGATTGTGTGCAAGTGTCCGATTTATTATAATAAATTAAGTCATTGCGGCCCATTCCGATCGAAAAAAAACCCCTTCTGTAAAACCCTGCTGTTTATTGTATATCAGTATGCAAATGTATAGTTGAAAAACAAACTATGTTTAGGTAAAACAATGCTGGGTTGCTCCAGTTATCAAATACATAAAAACCAGAAAACAAAAATATAAAAATATTAATATAAAATGCCTACGGCACGTAGTATTCCCGCGTGGTCCCCCACCGCAGTACTGTACTGACCACGCTCGCAGCAGTTTGACTTCCGGGATCGAACGGGACCAGGTAATTTTTTTTGCTGGATATGGCCGTAGGCGGAATCTAGTATTCGTATTCAGTATATATATATATTTTGAAAAATTAACATATAGGTGCTTATAGCTTGAAATCTATAAAATTGTGTTTCATTTAGAAGGCTACGAAAATTGCATATTTCAGCACTTTTCGGCCTAATTAGGCATCGCACCTTGGCATGAGCAGCCATGACTCAAATTGTTATATTTAGCCGGTCCCAACATCATTTCTTTCAGGTGCACCCTTCCTTCTTTTTTTTCCGTGGGGGTGGGGAGGTGGTGGAGATGCTCACTATTTTCTGGGGCCTTCTGGAGGCCAACATTCTTTATCATGGCCATCTTGTTGACGGCCGACGCTTATTATATAGCTGAACGCTGACACTAACATTATTATTTATTGACGCATCATTTTGTCAAGTCCATCCTGCTGGAGGAGAAGCTTGCGTGTATTTCGGTACTCCTGGGGCTGGAGCGCCTTACAGTTAATACAGTATATACATACAAACAACAACTAAATCCTGTACACGAGGGAACGGTGGACTTTACAGAAATTTACGCTGCACGAAACGGTGCAAGCAGGAATGTAATATTTTATTATCGTGCTAGTATATGTGGTAGTGTTCTAGAGTACAAGTTTAAGTGTCAATAGATTTCTGTGTTAGTTCCGTAGCGAAATTCGTCAGGGTCAGACGGCCGTTGATGTGTAAGAGAGTTTGGATTAGATCAATGGAGGCTGACTTGACTCTCCAACGATTGAATCAGAATGAACATGGCTTAGTATTAATGAGAGGCGCCCACGTATAGAGCACAGCGAAGTTCAACGTATGTATATGTGCAGTATCTTAAAGATTAAATATAA